AGCAGCAGCAGCAGCAGCAGGAGTAGTAGTAGTAGTAATAATAGTAGTAGTAGGAGTAGTAATAAGAGTAGTAATGGGAGTAGTAGCAGTAGTAGTAGCAGCAGCAGTAGCAGTAGCAGTAGTAGGACTAGTAGCTGGGCTTGTGTACTACCCCCTTGAACAATTGATTGGAGCAATGATTTCGATAACAATAAATAAGAAAGGTTTTGTCAATGAAGCAAGCAAACCTCAGAAGAGGTTAAGCGAGGATCTTAAAGGGCAGCAATAGCAAAACAATAGAAAAGTAAGCTAAGATACATATCCAACTATTAGACAAAGCATACCTTTGCAAAAAACACCCTGGGCGAAAACCATGCTATTATTCCCCACTGTGGACGCACTAGGGGTTCTTACGGTAAGGGTTAAGCACCGGTGTCTAATCCTCACACTCACACTCCCCTCCCTCCCTCCCCTTCTCCCTCCCTCCCTGTCTTTCTCCCTCCCTCCCTCCCTCCCTTCCTCCCTCCTGCTCGCTCGCTCGTTCGCTACCACCATCACCACAATCTCTACCTTCATCACCACCATCACCTCTCTGGACCCCAATGCGTCTAGATCTCTAGACTTTCTGCTGCTACACCTCTACACACTGTTTGGGGTCTCTTGCCGGGGTAATTTTCTCCCACTTTAATAGTTGGTTTTCAATATTATGTTGCATTTGTTTATTCCTCGGCTTCGTGACTGACCAGCAAGTCTAGGGCATGGTTCATCAGCACATATATATATATATGGCCATGAGTCAAAACGTTTTGGTATGGAACATGTACTCTTGAACATCTCGTTTCATACCCCGTTCCATACCTCTGGAACAGCATGTCTGCTCGCCGTTCCATACCCATCGTTCCATACCTATGGATTCCTAGTTTACAATTGTTCGAGGATCAATCAAAACGTGCGCTTTGCTTGCTGAAATACATTTACCGTGAGAAACGGGACTGAGACGACACGTCAGGATTTTTGGCACGATTTGTTCCATACCCCCGTTCCATACCTGTTCCATACCTTATGGAACAACGGATCCGTTCCATACCCTATGGAACAGGAAGGTGCGCGATGTTCACCTGAGACCCGGTGCTTTGACGCACACCCATATATACAAAGTGGAGACAGTGAGAGCATTATAGAGCCAAGAACAGTTGTTCTGACTGTGAGAGCCTGTCTAGCTGCTTCATAGAAACGTCATCTTTGTGTCACGTACTTTGCAGATTGTGCAAAAAAAGGGGAAACTGGACTCAACGCTGTTAATATACTCGGCGACCAAGGACGTGTCTTGCAGCATTCATCCATTAGAGACTCATCTCTTCAACTAGGACAGAGCAAAGCTGGACGAGAAGTTCGAAGCGAAGCATGGGAAGGCATTCTTGAGCAGCTGCCTGCCCCGTTGTCAGCTCAAGAAGGCGTCTACATATGCCGGACTTGTGCACGAGGTGAACATAAAAGTGTGGCAGAAGATCAGAACAACCAGAACAGCTGACGCATTTTTCCTCTCCTGTGCATTTTCAAAGCACTGTGGAGCTCCCCAATTCACCCAAATTCACTAGGACATAAAACATCAAACAGCTTCCAACCCTGTGTGGCCCCTGAGCAGGTTTGCACCTGGCGCGCCTTTGACATTTGATGCATCGCAATGTGGCTGATGTTCAGGAAGGCTAAATCGACCGATGATACAATGAATTCATGTTGTTCTCTATGATCACAGCTCCTATTTCAGCAGTGTAATTACAGTGAAACATCATGGACACAACCAAGATAGAAAGGGACAGGGATATCGCTGACATAGTTGTTGGCGATATTTGCGCTAGTTTGACTGGTGTCCAGGTCGTTGATGAAAATGGTTTGGCTGCCACAGTCAAGCCTCCAAGTCTCCATCGCGCAGTCATGGTGGTGCACGTCGCATTGAAAGCCAGCCATCAAGAGGCCTGCAAGGGCCTTAGTCTGAAAAGCCTTTGCTAGGCCTTCTGCACCAAAAAAGAACTGTGCCCAAAAGCAGGCGGAAAGGGACGCCAATTTCGAGACCCACTGAAAGACATCACTGACAATGCCGAGCGGCAGCATGGTAGATGCCACACAACAGCTTGGAACCCAGTCACCGCATGGCCTCTAAACAAAGGTGGCCGAAAGGGTCACCAGATGGCAGTGTCGAGACTCGAGACCACTGAATAATCAGCTGGGAAGCCATGGCAGCAGAAGTGACCCATGGAAAGCCCTCCGCCAAGCCCTAAACGACAAACCAGCCACCATAGGGCCTCGCCAGGGCCTTAGCTCATCTATATAGTTCGAGGGCAAAGCGGCCCAAAGGGTACCAGACGCCGATTTTGAAGCTCACTGCGGAAAACCCTTCATCACAGCTTTCAAGTGGCAAGCCTCGGTATCACAGGAACTTGTTCCTAGTAGCTTATTGTGTCTAATGGCTCTTTTTGTTTCAGGGTTGACTTTGGCTTTCGCATGATCCAAGGCTTCGCTGCAGCGTTGCTTGCATCGCCGCGTGCCTTGCCCGATAGTCTCTTGGGCAAAACAGAAAGTCTGCCACGTTGCCACTTTCACTCATCCTTTCGCGCACTGACAGTGGTTGTTGAAAACCTACTGAATATGGTTTGTTGATGTTTGTTGCCTGTTGAAGGAATCTACATGGTCCCATAATATTCGACACCAACACCCATATAAGTTAGGCCCCTTAAACCTGTTCAATTCCCTGGGGAGGTGGCATTCCTGCTTCAAGCTGAGCCGAGGTGCCACAAACACATTCTCTATCAAGAGTATTGCCAAAGCAGCTGCCGAAGCATATACCACCACACGCTGCGGACCTTGATGCGTTGGCAGGGACAACAAACCGTTCTGTCCTTTAACCTGACGTTTAGTGGCCAGAGATGATCGTTTGGGCACGACGTGAGTTTATGGCTACACATGAGCGTCGTTCAAAAACCCACCTCTTCCTTGTTAGTGATCGAATTTCAAAGGCTGATTTCGAGTGTGCTCTCACTGCAGTCGCGAAAGGTTCGCGAAGGTCCTGCGAAAGGTCTGCGCAAGTCATGTTGGTGACCTGGCCACGCTGCAAGAACAATTGCTCTTCAGACTTCCGATTGCTTTTTCCCGGGTTGGGAAAAAGCAAATTGGAAATCTGAACCATTTTGCTTTTTCCCGGGCCGGGAAAAAGCAAATTGGAAGTCTGAGCCTTTTGCTTTTTCCAGGCCTGGGAAAAAACAAATTGGAAGTCTGAACCATTTTGCTTTTTCCCGGCCCGGGAAAAAGCAAATTGGAAGTCTGAGCAAACTGGCCTGACTGAGCCATCTCTTGTTCATGGAGGGTTGCGCCCAACCAAAAACACACCAAAATGAAAATGGCTTGGTTGGAAGTCTTGACCATTTTGCTGTTTCCCGGCCCGGGAAAAAGCAAATAGGAAGTCTGAGCAAACTGGCCTGACTGAGCCGTCTCTTGTTCATGGAGGGTTGGGTAATCAAAATGGCTTGGTTGGAAGTCTTGACCATTTTGCTTTTTTCGGGCCCGGGAAAAAGCAAATTGGAAGTCTGGACCATTTTGCTTTTTCTCGGCCTGGGAAAAAGCAAATTGGAAGTCTGAGCCTTTTGCTTTTTCCCGGCCCGGGAAAAAGCAAATTGCAAGTCTGAACCATTTTGCTTTTTCCCGGCCTGGGAAAAAGCAAATTGGAAGTCTGGAAGTCTGGACCATTTTGCTTTTTCCCGGCCCGGGAAAAAGCAAATTGGCAGTTTGGACCATTTTGCTTTTTCCCGGGCCAGGAAAAAGCAAATTGGAAGTCTTGACCATTTTGCTTTTTCCCGCCCCGGGAAAAAGCAAATTGGAACTCTGAGCCTTTTGCTTTTCCCCGCCCCGGGAAAAAGCAAATTGGAAGCCTGAGCCATTTTGCTTTTTCCCGGCCCCGGGAAAAAGCAAATTGGAAGTTTGAGACGGAAAACCAGATTGGACATCCAGTTTGCTTTCAAAAAGCCAGGAAGAAGCAAATTTTTCAGAGAGCTGTGGCCTAATGGATGAGGCGCCAGGCTCATAAGCAGAAGGTTGTGGGCTCGAGCCCCACAGGCGCTCCTTGTTTGCAGGCCGGGTTCCAAACTGGAAGGCTGATACATTTTGGAAGTCTGAGCCATTTTGCTTTTTCCCGGGCCGGGAAAAGCAAATTGGAAGTCTGAACCATTTTGCTTTTTCCCGACCCGGGAAAAAGCAAATTGGAAGTCTGAACCATTTTGCTTTTTCCCGGGTTGGGAAAAAGCAAATTCGAAGCCTGAACCATTTTGCTTTTTCCCGGGCCGGGAAAAAGCAAAAAAGCAAAATGGAAGTCTGGACCATTTTGCTTTTTCCCGGCCTGGGAAAAAGCAAATTGGAAGTCTGAGCATTTTGCTTTTTCCCGGCCCGAGAAAAAGCAAATTGCAAGTCTGAACCATTTTGCTTTTTCCCGGCCCGGCAAAAAGCAAATTGGAAGTCTGGACCCGGCCTGGAAAAAAGCAAATTGGAAGTCTGGACCATTTTGCTTTTTCCAGGCCCGGGAAAAAGCAAATTGAAAATCTGAACCATTTTGCTTTTTCCCGGCCCGGAAAAAAGCAAATTGGAAGTCTGGACCATTTGGCTTTTTCCCGGCCCGGGAAAAAGCAAATTGGAAGTCTGGACCATTTTGCTTTTTCCCATTTTGCTTTTTCCCGGGCTGGGAAAAAGCAAATTGGAAGTCTTGACCATTTTGCTTTTTCCCGGCCCGGCAAAAAGCAAATTGGAACTCTGAGCCTTTTGCTTTTTCCCGGCCCGGGAAAAAGCAAATTGCAAGTCTGAACCATTTTGCTTTTTCCCGGCCCGGAAAAAAGCAAATTGCAAGTCTGAACCATTTTGCTTTTTCCCGGCCCGGGAAAAAGCAAATTGGAAGTCTGAACCATTTTGCTTTTTCCCGGCCGGGAAAAA